TATCATTCAGCAAAGCAAAACTGTCAGTGAGCCTTGTTTTTATTGTGTTCATTATCTTACTTAACTCTTAAACCTGTGCATATATATATATATAAAATACATACTTTAATTTGATATTAGAAGCTTTTTTTTAGTTGGAGAAGGATCTGGTAAATGTGATTGCTGATATATTTCCATCTTTACTTAGTGCAGAACAACTTCCCGATATTGTATCGTTGGTCAGTCTAAGATCGATCGTTTGAAATTGGTAGTGAGCTGGAAAGAGGCGACCGAGGACATTCGACAGGGATAAATCACACAAAATTGAAAATACTTGACAGTCCGGTTAAGCTGCGTCTGTGTGGGCTAGGTGCTTTTGCATAGAAACGTTTTTAAAAGATGTTCAAAGCACTAATTCAGACTCACTAAAATGTTTCAAGGTTTAAGGGGCTATTGTTCTCCTACGAAAGAGTAAAAGGAATTAACAAGAGAAGCACATGGAACATTGTACAGCACTGCAGAACAAAAAGGTTTTCTATGTCATTACAAAAAAAACAGCTTGTTGCATGGATACGGCATATTCCTCAGTAGGTTTCATTAAATAGTTTCGGATATGCAAAATTTGAAAACTTACATTTGAACACATAAGAAAATTAGATTTTTTGACACATTTTTTGAGTCCTCCATCAAAAGAACATTGTGCTTTGCTAAATAGCTCGCGAAGAAGACATCTAATAAAAGTTTGCTGGTACATATTATTTGGAACAACTACAACAATAATCAATGGGAGAAAGAATAAAGTACAGTACGAAAAGAGGGAGGGAGACAGGCAAAATGACGAGAGGGAAAAAGAAAATAAGATTCAGAGTGTGAAGAGAGAATGAGAGTCAGAAAAAGAGAGTGCGAGAGTGAGGAGGACAGATTGAGGGAGGAAAAGAGGAGAGTGAAAAGGGAGGAGAGAAAAGAACAAAGAGAGAGAGAGAGAGCTAAGAACAAGAAGGAAACCCCAAAAAAGAGAGAATCAAACCAGAAAGAGTCAGAGGTTGTCTTGTGAGTGGTGAATGTGTCCCAAGGTGTGCACCTGAGCTAGGGGTTGAAATCAAGTGGAGGTGGGGATGGGAAGGTGACCAAAGACACAGTCAGAGAGGAAGGACTTAAGACAGGCCTTGAAGGGGGCAAGGGATGAGGTGAAGCGGAGGGGCTGCGGGATGGAGTTGCAGAGGGTGGGGGCAGAAACGCTGAAGGCCCAGCTGCCAATGGCAGGGCAGGCAGTACGGGGAGACAGGCAAAATGACAAACTATCTGTGCAATTTCCCTGTGTGGGTGGGATACTCTTTAAGCAATGTGATGGGTTTCCGCACACGTCAAGAGACCCCTCTGACACATGTGGAACCGCCAAAATCCCATTGATTTCTTTTTAAGATTTAATTAAACCTAAATTAAATTCAAACGTGAATGTTCCTCCCAGTCTTCTCAGGACAAAGTAAAATCAACCTTTCTGGTTCCCCATCATTAAGGAGACGCTCTTTTTCTTCGCTGCTAATCAGGATGGTTACCTGAACCAGTCATTTGCTGCTGGTAAGAATGGAAGGTTAGCGGCAAAAATGTAAGTGGAGCTTGTGCCTGCAAACACCAGCCATCAACTTAGGTACTGCTAACTCTAAATGTCATTATAATTGGGCTTAGAGATACATATTTTAGTGTGTGTCACCTGGATTTAACAGGGACCGGTTTTAAGCAACCACTCGTAATTCTGGCCCGAAGGCTATTGCTTAATCCAGCTTTTACCGCTGTTTCCATAATTGATTTTCACATAAATGCACGGGTTTAGCGGTTTAAAAGCAAATTATTTTAACTTTGTGATACGTACAAGATGTATCTGTGTCTCTCTCTCTGGCTGGCGATGAAAAATAGATCACTGTATGGTGCATCTGTCTGTTAGTGCCCGAGGCACAATCAGAGCAGCATTTATCACTGTGCCACTCCCTCTTTGGATAACTGCTGTTAGCCCTCTTCCCAAATGATTTAAGGTGCAAGATAGTACTTCTCCACAATGCTTTGCTACGTTATTCTTCGCCCTCCAGACTTTCCATTCCTCTGTCAAATGCGGCCCTTCCAGCTTAGGCTGGAGCCTTGCATCCCGGGCACAAGATGCTCTAGCACTTTATCTCTGCAAGCCGATTGACCTTTTTTCTAAACTGCTTTGTTGCTTCTCAAACTATTTTATTTGTCACTCTCTGCCGTGTGTCACGTGCAAAATAAGAAGGTCTAAGCGTCTGAATGAGTCCAACTAAACCTTCATATATTTTCAGCGACTCTGGAGTATTGGTGGGTGGGGGAGGGGGAGAGGGGGTTGCAAGTGCGAGAATGCTTTCCTCAGCTCTGCAGTTTCCATGTCAAAAAGAGGGAGGCTCAGTAATGCCTCCTAACCACCTCTGATGGGTTTCTTCATTTATCGAGCTTGCAGAAACCCAGCCAATTAATTATTAAAAGCTGAGAGGCACGGCAAATGTGATAAACGGAAATAAAAAATTGCCTTCTCTTCACCAGTCCATCTCCCCTTACTGCAGTTTCCCTGTCAGCAATTCAAGCATTAAGTAATTTAAATCTTTTGCCTCCCGTGTTCCCACTGGCAAATTAACCATTGTGTCTTTGTCTTGCATTTTCCTTCCATTGCCTCGAGGCTCATTATACCCTCAACAATTATTCAGGAACTAGCTGTGTGATCATAGCCATGTTTATGAGGCCCTGTCATTATATGACTGTAGATTTTTTTTCTCTCCTTAGCCCCACCCCACCTTCCCCTCTATTCTTTCCCCCCCCAACACCCCCACTTTCCTATCTCCCCACTACCCCCCCTTCAATTAATGTTTTCCAGACTAGGATTTTTCCAGCAGAAATCTGGCTCCAGTACACCAGACTGCTACTCATTTGCAGATCACATCAAACCACTTTACTTACCATTTATAACCAATTCTGAAGCCATACGTTCATACAATGCTGATTGATTTGACAGATGGACATCACTAAATAGTCTAGCATAGTTGTGGTCACTTCGGTTTTTGTATTCCACATCATTCCCTCTGCTCCAGCCAGAGAGACATGCAGCGTCACTTGTGCTCTCTGCTTTTTAATGTTCTGCCAAGAAAGATATGAGAAAGGTGTTAAAGCAGGAATGCACAACACCTGCCTGCTATGTGTTGGAACATTAAAACCGTCATTGCCCGCGAATAAGTAATAGATCTAAATCTCTTTCTTTTTACCATGTTAAATTAAGTTTTGATTAATCTACATGGTACTGACTAGCTTGGTGTGTGCCTGTTGCACATTGTACATACAGCAGCTGTGTTTGCATTGCACTCTCACACTTATCACACAACAGAGCTTTTTGGACTCATAATTTGTTGTTGATGATGCCTGTGGCAGTCTTGGACAATTGCCAACATCTTTCCATTTGCATTGTGTGGGCTGCTTTGCTATAAGACAGGGTGTTAAAGATGCCATTTACAATCTGCTAATTGGGACAAAGGACTAAGTTAACATATGCCACAGACATCATCGTATAATCTGTCCCTAATTGTTTTATATTTGCCTAACATCAGTGTTAGAGTTTAAATTATGCCAGTGTGAATGTAGGAAACAGCATGGACTGATTGTTTAGATGACAATTAACAGTGATGGAAATTAGAATGTGAAAGTATCGCATTCAGTGTGAGGATGGGGGAGGGAACAGCACTATGTGCCAAGACTCTGCTTCTTCGTTCATTAAGAACACCGTAAAGAACAATCCGAATCAGAAAGCTATCCGAACTACAAAATCATTTCACAGATTCTAGCCAGATCCGTGTGTCAAAGGAAAAAGTTGAGAAACTGAATTATCTTGATTTAGAGATCAGGAGTGAGAAACCGGGCCAATTTCAATCCTCCTTAATCCAGGGCGTTGAGATTTATTTTTGCTGCCTTGCCTGAAATAATCATAATAATAATATCCTCTAAAACAACGCCAACAAATCTGAGGAATCAAAGTTTCTTGCACTGGATAGCTCAGTTTTGTACCAGGTGGTTTGCTGTAACTGCTGAACCATTTGGAGAGCCTGGCAGTCAGATTTCTAACTGCTGAGTGGTCAAAATATTTGGCCAGAATAACACAGATTAATGTCAGCAATTGAGCATTTATCTAAAGATACATTGAGACAACCAAAACTCCTATAAATACTGTATTGCTTTCAGATGGAACTATTATATTTTAGAACGCTGCATCCAATAAACATCTCTGCCTAAGATTGGTTCACATGGAAAAGTAGCTGGCTACAACTCGCAGCATTTGCATTCTTATTATGCAATAAACTGGATCTCAAATAAAATAATTCCTGTCGGTTAACTGGAATCATAAAGTCATTCTTGTATTATTAAAATCTAGATAGTCTTTCCTAAGTATTGTGTCCATCTTGAACTTTTTTCTTAGTTAAAATGCAACAACAAGCTACAGTAGCATTAAAAACATTCAAACCACTAATCCCTGGTATGATCCGAGCAAATTTCCTCTGCGCTATCTCTATTACCTTTGATGTCTCTCCTAAAGTGCAGTGGCCGAAACTGGATACAATATCCGAACTATGTTTATTTATTAAATACATCAGTATATCCTGTGAAGTGCTTTGAGATGGCTTCCGTTGTGAAAGGTGCTATACCAAATGTAAAGACAATTATTATCTTCCAGATGAAACAGAACCACTGCTGTTCCTGCTGAAGTTTTTTCATTCATACATAAAGTGGCTTGACAACTTTCATTTGAAATATTGGGGGTTTCATTGGGTTTCAAAGATTAAAATATGAAATAACATAGATTTCAGCTCACTCGATGATCAAATGTTTACTTTTTCAAAAGCTGATCTTTCTGAACTTGAGAGCCCTTTTGTTTGTCAAAACCATTGGTTTATAATTCAATCTACGTGGGGTTTTGCATGGCATTAAACAAAAGGATCCGGTTGAGTGTCTGTTTTTGTCTCCTCTCACTGTAGTGTCTGCCAGTGACCGTGAACCACAGGACTCCACCACTGCTAAACGACCATCACTGCCTGGGAGCATGGATACCCCTCTTTCCTCCAAAAGGCCAAGAACATCCGAAGAGACAAGTATGGATCAGCAGGTAGATATAGAACATTGGGTAACAAGGGCAGATATGTAAGGCAATGGGTAGTGAGGAATGGAGGGGGCGGTGGCATTGGGCTGCAAAACTGAGCGTACAAGTGAACTCTTCAGGCTAACTGAATTGATGACTTATTCCTCTCAGAGCCCGAGGTGAATATAATATAAATTTACATTTAGATATTTACATGGAGAGGACGTCCCCAAGGCTCTTGGTGGTAAAATCGCCTTTTGAGGAGTATTCATTCAATGTTTGACATTAGCGGTAAAGGCACCCAGGAAAGATAATAATCCTTGCATTTGATATAGCGCCTTATCACATTGTTGAGACGTCCCAACGCGCTTCACAGAATATACTGTAAAATGAATTGACTGTGTACGTTGTGGGCGAAAAGATGCAGTGCTGCAGCAACCTGGAATCATAAAGTCATTCTTGTATTATTAAAGAAACCTGTATAAAACCCTCTCCTTTTTTCTCACTTGCCCGCAGATGTATCAGTGCCCATACTGCAAGTACAGCAACACTGACGTGAACCGTATCCGGATGCACGTGCTGTCCCAGCACTCGGTGCAGCCGATGCTACGCTGCCCGCTCTGCCAGGACATGCTGAACAACAAGATTCACCTCCAGCTCCACCTCACCCATCTACACAGCGTGGCACCCGACTGCGTTGAAAAACTCATCATGGCTGTAAGTGCTCAGTGTTTGCAGACGTCCTCTCGACATGAAAGGCGCTATGTCAATTGCAAGGATAATTATTATATTTAATACTATTCACTGTCACTAGTTCTGTTAGCTTGGGACAAGCGAGTGATCACCCTTTTGATTTTTGATTCAAGTTTCGATTAAGTTCTTAAGTCCTTAATTTTAATAAGTCCTTTACCCTCCAACCCCCCCCCTCCCCCCCACCCCCAACGCAGAGATAACTTTCCTTTAGAAACTTAGATGTTGGCCTCTCAGAACTCTTAGTTCTGTTGCAATTAATCTTTTTTAAATCAATGCTAGCAATTGTTTAGAGAATCGAGCACAGATGCGAAAAATATAATTGATTGCAATTTGATGGGACTTGTCTTCTGGCTTTTAGCCATTGGAATGGAATAATCAACAAAGTGTTTTTGTAATAGTAGAAATATTAAAAAGTCCCAATATCCTGAAAAACTAACATTGCACAGAATTGTTGAAAATTGTTGCACTCCAGTTTTAATTTGAAAGCCTTTTTTTTTAAATAACTGTGGAAAGCCAGATTCCAGATTAAGATTCATTTGAAAAATATTCTGCACAATCTTAATTTTTCAGATAAATGGCAGTCACAGGCCTACGGCAAGGTGGAATTTGGGGACCACACGGCTTTTAAAACTTGCCGTCACCAAATCACTTCTCAACTTATCTCACTTTCTCTGCTGCTTGTTTCATCTTTGTTGTGCTGCAGTAAGGATCTTCGTCCTTCTCAACAATAGTAGTGAATAATCCAGTAGTAGTAGGCTCTTTCTGTGGTGAAGGTGCAATGTGAGAAGGGAGGGGTGATTGTGTTGATGCTTGCCATGGAAAATCGATTAGCAGTTGAAGTGGTTTTGTGGAGTTTGAATGGTGTCAACTATTTCTTGCATTTACTTTGAGCAGCAACAACAATTTACACTTACCCAGCACTTTTCACATGGGAGAACGTCTCAAAGTACTTGCAAACACTGAGCGGGAGCCTGAGCTGGGAGTTAGCGGGGCGGCAGAGAAGCTTATCTAAAGTGTAGTCAAGAAGAAAGAGATTCAAAAGCAGAGCGGAAACAACAACAACTTGCATCTATACGGCAAGTTTACATGGGAGAGAGTTTCAGAGGGAGGGAGGGAGCAAAGTGGCTGCAAGTTCACAAGCCAGTGGTGGGGGTGGATCATGACGGGGGTAGCAATGAAGCAAGCCAGAGTGGGCAGAGGGGAGGGAACAGCCAGAGAAGTAGTATTGCAGGAGGTTCGAGATACAGGGAGGGGCAATGGGTTACGGGGGGCTTTCGAAATTGATGATGGAGGGGATAGATAGGCGAACGGGGAGTGAACAACAGACAGTGTGTAAAGGAATGTGTTGCAGGATTCTGTGTTCGTAATAAAGATAAGCTACCAGTCTGAAATCTAGCCCAACTCAGAAATCATGATGCACTCACCGCAGATCGTAAAGCATTGCGTTTGCCAGATAGACAGAGAAAATATATTTCTACTCAGAATTTGGCCATCGCTTTCCAAGGTCTTTAAAGTGTCCGTTGTCATGGTAATTGCTTCCAACATTACTGGGGCCTTCAGTAAGTCCCTCAGTAAGGTCCTTTTAATCAAAATATAACAGACGTTTAACCCTCTTGCCTGTACCTGAGCTCTGGAAGGCTTCAAATGACGGCTCTGAACCACACAGATAAAATCTGTACGACAGACAGACGAGGACGACTCAGTTTCTTATTAGAGTTTTGTCACAGTCTGGGAGATTAGTTTCCCTGCTTTGTGGCTTCTTTCTTTCATAATCCCCCCCCCCCACCAAAATCACGCATTGTTAATATTTTTGGACTGTTTTAAAAAATAAAATGAGTGGCTGGAGGAGGCAGCCCCTGTCGTGAAACGCAGTGCATAGAGCTGCAGGTTATGGAGGAGAGGGTTCCTGGCGCTGAGCGTGCTAGACACAGCCAGGGCAAGAGTGAAGGGAGAGTGAGGAGATGACCATAGGTGCAATCATCCCACAGGATATCAAGCTATACCTGTGTATACTTGGAATTAAAGATAAACACTCATCACAAAAAAAAGTAATCTTTTTCATTCCATCGGCGAGGTACTTAGGAACGACAGATTTTCTGAGTCCGGTCACACACATACACACACCACAGGACACACACACAAGACAGGACACACATATACATACACACACACCTCACACACACGCACACATGCCACACATACAAAACAAATACATGATACGTACACACACACAAATCCTGTTTTCTGGAAAATGACGATCTTGCCTTTTCTGTGTTTGGCAAATGTTAGTTTGCTTTTCCTCGAAAGCGACTTCTAGTGTTTTCCAGACCAGGCCTCGTGGGGACTGGTAAAATAATGCTTATGCCCCAGGCTAAAGGAATTAACTGCAAAGTGCTACGACTAAATGGCTATCTGTAATACCGGTATTGGAGTTTATCTGAGCTTTAACAAGTACCTGCATAGAATGTTAGGGTGTTTCAATGGGTTCAATAAACTAGCAGCTGAGAAAATAGAGCAGTGTTTTCTCACTGGAGGTGTGCTACACTTGGCTTCCAAAGCTAAAACTTATGGGTCACCAGGTACTCCGTTGTGCCACAGGTAGGAACCACCACAGGGATCATTCCCTCGTTGGAGGCAGCCATTGTTTTTTCACTTCACTTATAACCTGGCCACATTATAATGATGTTCTATATTTTCAAATTGAATTGCAAACCAAATAATTGGTGGTGCAATATTGGTGTGTTAGTGCCTTCCCTCAGAGACACAAGCCTCACAAATCCAGGTTTCACTGACATTTTCACATCAACGTTCTTGTGAGCAGCTTTACAAATCTCTGCCAGCCTGTCTTGGGGATAGAGAAAAAGCCCACCAAGGAGGGACCTGTTTCCACTCTTCTTCAGCACACCTTTTAACCATTCAGCCAAGCTATGGGTTGGCAACATTTGTAGAAACATTGGCATTGAATCACCCAAACAAGCAGGATAAGAACACAGGAGTCAGCTATTGGTCCATTAAGTCATGTTCCCCCATTATGTCTTTTGGCAATAATTTAAGATCATGTCCCACTCATGTCCCTTAATATCTTTTTACCAAGTATCTCTCTTTTGAACTTCAATGGCCTTCTGAGAAAGTCTGTTCCATATTCCTCTCGCAGCCCTTTGTGTGAAGAGCTATTTGCTGTTTTAGCTCTAATTCTTCTCTTGTCCTGGACTTCCCAACTAAACGTAGATTCATTGCTATTTGCTTTGTCAATACCCTTCATTTATTCTGAACAACTCGAGAGCGAAGATGGTGTGGGGTGGAGGAGGAATGTACAAAAGTCAATGTACTAATATTTTGAAAAGTTTTATATATATATTCTGGTTCTGATTCAATAACCAAAATTTGCCTGTATGTCCATTGTCTTGGAAGAAGGCTAAAAAGAATGATGAGCTTGACCTTCAGTCTTGGAGTCCTTCAGGCTTTCCTTAGTTTTGAAAGACAGTATGTATGCCTATTCATAATTGCTTAATTCATCACTTACAAAGCTGCCATACAAAGGAAATCTTTTAGAGTTTTCAATTCTGAATGAAGGGGACCAAGCTTTCCTCATGTACTATGCATAAAGGTGTCTTTTGTCTGTCTGGCTGAAACGCAGGTAATGAAGATAATCGTGCTTCATTAAGCAGGAGTCCTGTGAGATGACAGCCATTTTGAACTATGTTTGCCAATTAAATCATCTAAATTAAAAGTGACCTTGGGATTTGGAGTGTCGTTGCCAGCTGATAACTAAAGAAGCCATTTTTAAGTAAATCGACTTTAAAGTGGAAACGAATGTGAAACATATTCTTTGGGAAATAAAAACATGTAACTCCTTCAAACCCATCTTGTTCTCTATAAAAAAAGGCTCCTGTATGCTGGCAGCCAGTTGCAGAATTTGTGGCACTGGTTTATTTTATTTATCATTTAATTGATCATTAAGTTCAGTAGTGCACATAAACCTGCCATGACATGATTTACAGAAACTGTTTCCTGTGTTTGTTGAACTACCTGGATTTTATATATTTTTTTTAAAAAATACTCCAGTTTACTTGAAAAGTTGAGACTTGTCTCAGACTGAATTGCATTTGGATGTAATGTAAATCTAGACGTTAAAATAAGAGTCTGCCGTGATCTTGGGTACATGGCTGCTTTTGTGACTCAATGTATGTAAAAATGATTTACGATTCTGAATAAGGTTTAAAAAGTGAATTCATACAAGCTAAGAAAAATTAATGTATCTTCAATTCCTCGCATCAGCATCAACCTAAATAATTAAAAGGACATTGTGAGCAGGTTGGGTATTTTAGTGGTACGTTGCTGTGTGCAAATTAACTGCCGCGTTCAGCCACGTATATACAGTTCCTACACTCTGTAGTGAATCATGTGAACCGTGAATGGTTCCTCCCGATGTGAAAGTTGCTGCATCAAATGTAAGGATCATTGCTGTTCTTTTCAGGCATGTTAAGTTTCAGGAATCAATCTAGTACTGAAACAGACATTTATAACTGGTTCAGAGAAAACATTTGTTATTGCCTTTTGCTTTTCACAAATTCTACAAACAAACCGAGTGAGACCATTGGATCACTAATTCTATTCTCAAGCACTCTGTCTACACCTTTAGTGAAGTGTCTTTTGTGGCACTTGAAGGGGGTGATGCTCCTCTAAGTGTATGAACAAGCAAACCATATCCAGTTTTTAATTCAGTGACTGAATGTATCTTTTAAATTCTAGTACAATGCACTTGAGTTCAGCTGAAGTCACCTGATTGAATTGGAGTTCTTAATGTAAATGAGGAAAATTAGTGAACCACACCACAAAGGAAAATATGGCCGTAATGTGTGTTGACAGGTTAATTTTTTTTCAAATAGTGCATGTCGTTCCATTGTCCTATCAAAAGCATAAATGGGACCACTTAGAGGAGTTATTCATGGTTAATCTCTTTAGAGATGGAAAACTTGCACAGACTGCAATCTTTCTCATAGAAATATTTTTTCATTCCGTTTTCATGTGCCTCCGTTTTATAGATGTGGTTTGTTTGAATAGAATCCTTCCTCCTGCGCTCTTATATAGATTTCAACTCCATGAATTAAGCTTAGAATTGGTAAAAACAAATTCTCGTAAATTATTGCAAGACATGACCCGTTTAACTCCCTGTTTATGTTGCACTTGTATAACCATCTTTGTTTTTTGAACTCTCAACACTCGACTGAATCCAGCGAGCTCCTTGATCTTTTTTGCTAATAACAGGCCATCCATTTCTACGATGTTGCTTTGTAAAAGGGTTAATGAACGTAAAATGTGCCCTCTGATTAAAATGCAGAGTAGCAATGGAACTTGATTATTATTTTTCAACAGTTAATTGAATGAAAGTGAGGACAAGCACTGTGCAGCCACACTGCTTTCTCTAAACTTAATCACTGATTATGATTAAATAGGTTCTGTGTAATAACAGAGTTGATGAATTTTTTCCCTGCTCTTGCTGTCATTCACACATGATTGGCTTTCACCTTTCAAGTACAAAAGCCCTTCTTCTGCATCAGAGCAACTAAAGCTTACATTTTAAATTCAATATTATATCAGAATATCCAAATATTATTTTTGCAACACATTCTTCACTTGCACAAGTGCAGTTTGCAAAAATTATTACTATTCAAATATAGTAATTTGCAAGTGAGGGCTGTCAGCAGATGACTTTTACTTGTCAATTTAGTCCAACAAAACTTACCTTCTCTGTATTTAGCCAATTTGGGTGTGTAATGACTTGCAACACTGTGGTCCTTGCCCGTCCCTTTATTACCATGTAAATAAGTTGTTGAAAAGGCTTACTTTTGCACATATCATTATACATTAGTTTGTTTCCTGTTGCTAGGACAATGGTCTCATATCTTGACACGCTTAGAATTTGTGAGTACAGTTAAATCTGAAGGAGTTGATTCACCCTGCTTTTGAAGTCACAATGACATGGTAAAAGCCATTGTCAAATTTAACAGTCATATTTCATTGAAAGCAAGCAAACTCCAGTTTAGATTTTACTGACTTTCAGTGAAACATTACTGCTAAACATAGCCACAGATGAACAGAATGCCGACATTTGTCCCCATTGTCTTGTGCTCAAATGTGATAGAAAAAAATATCGCCTGCGACCGCTGTGGTAGTAGAGTGACAACCTTATTCCTCTCTATAGTTAAAGCGACAAACTCTCCCAAGTTGGAGTGGCGTCTCACACGCGCCGCTTTGAATCCATGATCAAACATTAGCAGTCATGCTGTGAATCGCAGAAAAACAAGAACCAATAACTTCTGTAGGTGCTGAGAAGGTTTATTGTTGTGTTCATTTATTGTATCCACGGAAACCCGTTCTGTTGAGCCTTCCCCCACCGCCCCCAAATTGCCCTAAAATGTAATGCATCCTGTATGGTGTTACAATAATAATCCTTGCATATAGCGCTTATCACAACAGGAGGGCAAACTGCTTCATAAGAGTTACTGTAAAGTGTAGTTACTGTGTATTTGTAGGCGAACGCAGCAGCCAGTTTGTGTACAGCAATGTCCCACAAACAGTCATGAAGTGAGTGACCAATTTTATCTGTGGCAATTGATGGCCAGGAAGAGAGGGTGAATACACTTAATAGGTTCTAATTGCTGCAATGTCCCTGTGCAGGTAACCACTCCAGAGATGACAATGCCAAGCAGCATGTTTCTTCCTTCAACTGTTCCAGAGAGAGAAACCCACGCAGTCTCGCAGACTGCCACAAGCTCCAACACAGAAGATACAGCTAAACTAACAGGTACGTTTGCGAAGAGTAAATGCAGAAAATTATCCTCCACTAACTTTTTAACCCCGAAAAAATGTTTATCACAAAGTGCACATATCAGTCTGCAGCTTGTACTGTTGTTGTGTCCTTATAGGGAAAGCACAAGAATATAATCTTTATACTCTGCAGTGACGAAAATAGATCAAATTCAATGTATTGATTTTTTTTAACATTGATGTCTCAGGGCTTTGCATTAACCATTGTTCACTTCCCTAGGGCAAGTAGATACCATCTCACACCAGCCAAGCTGGTGCTCACGACTCGCTTGGTAGGCAGTAGATTAACAGATGACCCAAAATGTACCATTAAATCGCGCACAAATTCTGCAAACAAAAGCAGCTGCGTGCTCTTATTTTCTACTTTGGGACCCAGTCCACATCCCAAATCCCCGAAGCAATGAAATGTTTATAAACGTGGGTGACTACGTTTATTCCTGGCAAATAACCGAGGGAGAATATTAACAGATTTTAGACGTTTTTAGGGCAACATTGCAAAATAATAAAAGTGATGTGGAATAGAATCCCTGTGTCTGATCAAATCAAGTGTAGATTCCATGTCGCAAAACTTGTTAAAGGGCAGGGGGCAGGGGCTCTGGTTTTACATTATAGTCTTTACAGTTGAGTGAACGACTCATGTGACTGAACACAGAGTGAATACTATTATGCTGCTTCTGTTTGAGTGTATACAAAGAGAGGTATGTAACAGATCTTACCAACTATTTCATGATGTTTGGGCAAATAAATCGGGAGACAACTTACGAAGACAACTTGCCCGGCTGGTAAAGTAGATGCTTGTAGCTATCTATTGGTGGGAACCCTATAATCTGTACTTTCTGTAAGGTCAGATTTTGTGTCCTGAAAACAATTTACATAAACAAATTTGCGATTCACCAATTATTAATCAGGCAGCTTTGAATTTCAGCACCACATCATCTGCACAATTTGATTTAGTATCTATCCCTCTTGAAACTTTCATTCAGCTCCACTACTGTATCCTTATAACAATTTCATTTCTAAAGAAGCCGTTTCTGTAGTGTAGTCCCTGGTCTGCAAAGATGCATCTTTTTATTGCAGTTGTGCAGAACGAATTCGGACCTAAACAAGTCAGTAGCATTGTGTAGTGAATCAACCATGATTGACCATCAATTATAAATTTGAATATTGACCTATTTTATGCCAAAGAATTATGCCTATTGGAAATGTCCTTTTTTTAAAATTTGGGAAAATGAAGTACGATATTTTTGCAACTTTTTCTCATTGCGGGGGCTGGCTGATTGATTGCTGCTCACGCAGCCTTATTAATCCATCAAAATCTACCTTTGGCAAATGTCAGATTATGGAGTCACCACTGTTTGGAAATTTACTCCCCGGTGGGTCTTGATTCTGAGTGCTGGAGAAAGTAGCAGTTTCACTTTAACAGCCGATGACATTTTTATATGCCCACAAGCATTGCCTCACCAATAACATCAATCCCAACTTCAGAACAATTACCAATTCATGCTTCAAAAACTGGTTGTGTAGCCAGCATAGTGACAAAAATCACAAGATTAATTTAAAAAAACTAAAAATGGTACTTGTATTGGGATGTGCGATATTGAAGACCAGTATAATGCTGACACTGGCTCTCTGCACATCTGAACACAGAGCAGTAAAAGCCTGGGTACCTTCCAAAAGTTTGAATAGTGTCAATTTTATGAATTTGAGGATTCGCTTTCTAAAAATCACTAATTATAAACTACTATAGAACACAAATACACTCTAAACAAAGTAGTGATTTTTAACTATTTATGCTATTCAGATTTACAAATGGCATTGTAACGCTTTAGCCAATAATGACAGTATGTAGTTAAAAACAAATTAGAAATGGGATTTATTAGTATTTACACTAGCCACTGATAGTTCTCATTAAATTTGTTTTCATTAGAAACATCAGATCCACCAGAAAAGAGCAGTGTACCTTCGGAAAGTACAGACCGTAGCATGGAACCAAAGCCTTCCGGTGACCAGAGTTTAGGGAAGGATGACGCTGGCTTCCTGTGCTGGAAGAAAGGATGCAACCAGTTGTTTAAGACTTCCACTGCACTTCAGGCCCACTTCAATGAAATTCATGCCAAAAGGCCCCAACTACCTGTGTCCGATCGTCATGTCTACAAATACCGTTGCAATCAGTGTAGCCTAGCGTTCAAGACCATTGAGAAACTCCAGCTGCACTCTCAGTATCATGTCATAAGAGCCGCCACTATGTGTAGCTTATGCCAGCGCAGCTTCCGAACCTTTCAAGCCTTGAAGAAACACCTTGAGACCAGTCACTTAGAACTGAGTGAGACTGACATCCAGCAGCTTTACAGTGGACTCGCCGCAGTCAATGGTGATGTGATGGTACTGGGGGATGCATCTCTGAGCGAAGATCAGGCTTTGGTGCCAGACGAAGACAAAGATGAAGAGAGCGATTCGGATGAAAAACAAAGCCCTGTAGGAAGCGACTCTGGATCTGTTCAGGAAGATTCGGGCTCGGAGCCGAAACGGGCTCTTCCATTTAGGAAAGGCCCAAACTTCACCATGGAGAAATTCCTGGATCCATCCCGTCCCTATAAGTGCACAGTCTGCAAGGAATCATTTACTCAAAAGAACATCTTGCTTGTCCATTACAACTCTGTATCTCACCTGCATAAGCTGAAAAGGGCACTTCAGGAGTCTGCTACCGGCCAGCCTGAGCCAACCAACAGCCCGGATAACAAGCCTTTCAAGTGTAACACATGCAATGTTGCCTACAGCCAAAGCTCTACTCTAGAGATCCATATGAGATCAGTGTTGCACCAGACCAAAGCACGAGCTGCAAAGCTAGAAGCTGCTAGTAGCAGTGGGAGCGTTAGCGGTAACATTAGTAACAGTAATACTACCATGGGAGTGTCAACACCTAGCCCAAGTGGCAATAACAGCAGTAATACTGATGTTGGTGTGAGTAGCAGTGGATGTGGAATTACAACTAGCACAACACCGAGCATAGGTTTAATAAGTGGATGTCAGGTCACTGCAGATTCCACTGGGACAACTTTGAGTACCAACTCTGTTGGAACCAGCATTGCCACAGCTTTAGAGCAGAAGGATGCCAACAAGAAAAAGATAGTTGATCTGATCACATCCCGGCAACAGACCCAACAGCAGCAGGCTCAGACGTTAGCCCACGCCCAAGCTCAGGCTCAAGCTCAAGCTCAGGCTCAAGTTCAGCTACAGCAAGAGCTTCAGCAGCAAGCTGCCATCTTCCAATCTCAGCTGTTCAACCCAGCCCTCCTACCACATTTCCCTATGACTACCGAGGCTCTACTGCAGCTCCAGCAACAACAGCTGTTGTTTCCTTTTTACATCCCTGGAACGGAATTCCAGCTGAATCCAGATCTCAGCATCCCAGTGAGTAGCGCGGCGCTGACCATACCAACAAGCTCTCTGCTCGAAGACGTGAAACCCAACACTCTTCAGCAGCACTTCTTTCAGCAAGTGCAGCCGTCTTCGCAATCCCTCGCACAGCACACGGCGTTGCTTCAGCAAAGCCAACAGCTGGATAAGAAACCAAAAGCAATCGTAAAAGACAAGGATGGACACAAGGACAAAGAGAGTTCAGAGAAATCTGATGACAGCTTTGCGTCGAAGGATGTTTCCATGGAAGGGCAGAAATCCAAAGAAAAGAAAGACCAGCCTGGACATGGTGAATCCTCCTTGCTCCCTCCTCGAATTCCTTCAGATGCTCGTGGTAACGCCACCAAGGCTTTGCTAGAAAACTTTGGGTTTGAGCTGGTCATTCAGTACAATGAGAACAAACAAAAGGTGCAGAAGAAAGCTAAGACCGGTCAGAGTGACAGCATGGAGAAGCTGGAGTGCGAGACTTGCGGAAAGTTGTTTTCCAATATTTTAATTCTGAAGAGCCATCAAGAGCACGTGCATCAGCAGTTCTTTCCATTTGAAGAGCTTGAGCACTTCGCCAAACAGTATAGAGAGAACTATGATAAACTTTATCCCCTGAGGCCAATAACTCCTGAACCACCGCCACCTCCGCCCCCGCCTCCTCCACCGCCGGTCTCATCTCAGCCGTCTTCTACCCAGACCCTCACGTCAGCAGCTCCCTCACTCACACCGCCTGCTATATCCACCTCGCAGTCCACAGTGTCGCTTCCTCAGCTCTCTGTGCCATTGGATTTACCTATTTTTTCGCCGCTTATGATGCAGTCCATGCCTTTGCAGTCTTTACCATCGCAGATGTCCTCCCAACTAACACCAGTAGATCCTATACCTGCCGACTTGGCCCAGCTTTACCAGCAGCAGCTCAACCCCAACCTCCTTCAACAACAGCAGAACAAGCGGCCACGGACACGCATCACAGATGATCAGCTGAAGATCCTCAGAGGGTACTTTGACATAAATAATTCGCCAAACGAGGACCAAATCAAAGAGATGTCTGATAAGTCAGGGTTGCCCCAAAAAGTGATCAAGCACTGGTTCAGGAACACCTTATTCAAAGAACGCCAGCGCAACAAAGATTCGCCGTATAATTTCAACAACCCCCCAGTCACGTCGCTCGAAGATATCAAAATAGATTCCAAACCTCCTTCTCCAGAACCGGCAAGGACTGAGTATTTCAGGAGCAATCGATCGAGTAGAACGCGGTTCACCGACTATCAGCTGCGCATCTTGCAGGACTTCTTCGATGCCAATGCTTACCCAAAGGACGATGAATTTGAGCAGCTTTCCAACTTGCTGAACCTCCCGACTCGGGTCATTGTGGTCTGGTTCCAGAACGCGCGGCAGAAGGCCCGGAAAAACTACGAGAACCAGGGGGACGGCAAGGAGGGCGAGCGACGGGAATTGTCAAACGACCGTTACGTTCGCACAAATAACTTGAATTACCAGTGTAAGAAGTGCAATCTGGTATTTCAACGCATCTTCGACTTGATCAAGCACCAGAAGAAGATGTGCTACAAAGACGAGGATGATGATCTACAAGACGACAGTCAGACGGAGGACTCCATGGATGCGTCTGAGGCATTGATTACCACTTATTCGTCTTCTAACACCAATCTAATGAGCTCAGCTGTCTGTTCCTCATCTTTGACTCCACCAATGCCAAGTGGATCTTCTGGAAACCTGCCTCGAACGTCAGCTGAAAAAGAAGAAACTCTGTGCAAGTTAGAGTTTTCTGATGAGAAACCAAAGCAACCCGAATCCCCTGATACACAGCAGCAGCATTCGCAAGAGAACACATTAGAGACAAAACCCGAGACACAGCAAGATCAGAAACCACAGCTAACGCAATCGAAAATCCCACAGCTCTCGCCACCTCAACCCTCACAGCCCCAGTGCTCAGTGTCTCAAGCCAGTCCGAGCCCATCTCAGCTTCCTCACGTCTCTTTAAACCCGCTTCACACTTCAACACCACAGCAGCTTGGCAACCTACCTCCACAGATGATTCACTACCAATGCGACCAGTGCAAACTGGCGTTCCCAACCTTTGATCTATGGCAGGAGCATCAACAGCTCCATTTCCTGACCGCACAAAACCAATTTGTCCATCCTCAGTTCTTGGATCGCGCACTGGAGATGCCCTTCATGCTTTTCGATCCCAATAACCCTCTGCTAGCCGGTCAGCTACTTTCTGGAACTCTACCTCAGATCCCAACAAGCTCTGCATCCTCACCCTCTACGCCTAATTCCGCCATGAACACACTAAAGAGAAAACTGGAAGAAAAGGCGAGCGTTAGCCCCGGGGATAACGACAGTGGAAACAATGGAGACGAACCTCAGAGAGATAAACGTTTGAGGACCACCATCACCCCAGAGCAGTTGGAAATTCTCTACCAGAAATACTTACTCGATTCGAACCCAACGCGGAAGATGTTGGACCATATTGCACATGAAGTAGGCCTCAAAAAGCGCGTCGTTCAAGTTTGGTTCCAGAACACTCGGGCCAGAGAAAGGAAAGGGCAGTTTCGAGCTGTTGGCCCGGCTCAAGCTCACAGACGCTGTCCGTTCTGCCGAGCCCTCTTTAAAGCTAAGACAGCACTTGAAGCCCACATCCGATCCCGCCATTGGCATGAAGCCAAACGTGCTGGGTACAATCTGGCCATGTCTTCTCTTTTGTCAATGGACAGTGACGGAGTAAGCATGCTGAAAGTGGATCAGTTGGACTGCTCCAGCTTTGCTCAGCTGTCGTCATTAAATAGCGACGGTCAGTGCGCTACTGTTTCACCAGGGAACAAAAGTGGAGAATTCTCACCCAAAGCTCTGCTCAGCCCTTCATCCATCAAGGTAGAAGGGATCGAAGACTATGATGGTCCCACAATTTCTTCAGTTAACTTGAGCTTTGACCAAACTAGGCTTGATAATGATGATTGCTCATCAATCAACACTGCTATAACTGACACTACAACCGGAGATGAAGCAAATGCAGACAATGACAGTGGAACCGGAGCAGCATCCGACTCAAAACAGCTCCTTTTCCAAGCAGAGAATCTTCAAAAGGTATCTCAAATATCTGTGCAAGACATGGAAGACAGGATGTCATCTGGCTTGGTCAGTCCATCACATAGTCAATGTGCCCGGGAGCTGGAAAATGAATGTACTGTTGATTACAGTGAGACTTCAAGCCTTGCTGATCCCTGTTCGCCCAGCCCCAGCTCAAGCAGCACGATTGCAAGACCTGGAGATGGTGAACGCCCAGGGCAAAAACGCTTTCGTACTCAGATGACAAATCTCCAGCTGAAACTGCTGAAGTCCTGCTTTAATGATTACCGAACACCAACCATGTTGGAATGTGAGGTTTTGGGCAATGATATTGGGCTGCCAAAGCGAGTGGTTCAAGTGTGGTTCCAGAATGCTCGGGCCAAGGAGAAGAAATCCAAGCTGAACATGGCGAAGCACTTTGGTATCAATCAAACCAGTTATGAAGGACCCAAAACAGAGTGCACTTTGTGTGGCATCAAATATAGCGCCCGGCTGTCTATAAGAGATCATATCTTCTCTCAGCAACATATCTGCAAAGTGAAGGAGACCATTGGAAGTCAGCTGGATAAAGAAGTTGAATACATTGATCCAGCGACTGTCCGTCGGCTAATGGCTCAACAGGAGCTAGACCGTATCAAGAAAGCTAATGAGGTTCTTGGTTTGGCAGCTCAACAGCAAACACTTCAGCAGCAGGGCTTGTTCGATAATCCACCAATTCAAGCTCTTAATCTTCCTACTGCCTACCCTGCATTGACAGGGATTTCACCTGTGTTACTACCAGGTGTGGGCAGCCCTTCATCTCTACCTGGCTTTACTTCATCTAACACAGGTGGGTAGTACTTATCATTTATGCTTACATAACATAGCTTTCTTGGTCGATTTCAATCTGATATTTGCCTAATTCAAATTTCATTTGTTTCAACTGGGATCAAATCCAGCCCGGACAGATAGGATGAAGGTGTCCTGTCTCTAAAGGCTGTTAGTAATCAAAGTGAGTTTGTAATCCAGATCCCAGTTTTTAAAAAGAATCCATGGCACATGGGATCTTAATCTATTGTCACTGAAGCTTTCGAGTCCGACACTATATTTTGCAATCTTGCTCTGGAAGGCATCAATGAGAGAGTACGGCGAATAAAAATGCCACAAACGTAGAGTGAAAGATGTTCCATTGAGGTTGGGTCTTGGGTACTTTGTCATTGTCCTTACGTAACCTGCCAGCACTTGATCCACTGGATCCAAATTGCCTTCCACACATGTTGCCTGCCATCATTCACTTTGACCACCACCCAAATCTATGGGAAAAAAAACAAGTTATCATTCTACATTAACAACCACCTTGAATATGCAATGATCTCTCGCTTGTGCAATCTGATAGAATCCTAACTGAAAAGAATAGCTGATTTGCTGATGGCTTCTGACATGAATGGTAAGTGAAGGAGTGATATTTTAGCCCACAGACTCAGTTTATGATGTGGTGAATCTGGTACAGACATAAAATAGATACTGATATAATTTCACATTGGTTGCGTTTAGTTTCTGTGGGAAAATCAAAGCAAGAATCACTTGCTATTTCTTTGCTGCAGAATGGTGTTATCTGCAGAATCTATTTAAGTTCTTTTGTCTATGTCATTAATGATATCAGCATAATTAAGGAAAATACAATAAATTATGATGAAGAGGGAAAAAAAGATGTATTCACATTTTCTTCCCCTGTGCCAATCTATTTTGTCTAATTGGATTTTACTGTTGTATTTAATGACATTCAATAAAGTGTCCTGCACTATCATATTACATGCAGTTATATTGTAAAAACCGTGTTTGTATTTAACAGTGATTCTTTTATCAAACCCCGAATAAGCAGCCAGCTACGGCAATGTACAAGCTACAATGTACACAAATTATGAACTAAGAGGCTTTGAACTTAAAACACAACTCCCATAAGAGTGTTTTAGTTCCATTTTAGCTCATTTCATAACTGTTTGTGCAGTACCAAAAGCAAGTGTAAGTGGTTCAATTCAACATTGGGAGGTTTCTTAGAACAGTGTTTGAATGAAAGGGGAAAAGCTGAAAGAGCAAAGATTCACAGATCTTGTTGCAGATGCCACAGCAAAGGTCTAGTCACAATGTTCAGAGAAACAGTCAAACCTCTTTCAGGTGTAGTTTGACAATTGGTTATCTGCGCCGTAATTAAATTGAAGCTCTCAATGGGGATTTCACGGTGCCACGTTGCTCATAATACCATCATATTTTTACTCAGGTAGTACAAATTCTGGAAGACATAAGCTTTTAACTTGTTTATAAACAAGCTGCCCCCTCGGAGGAACAGGATTGGGAATGTCACTTCAAGCAAAAACTGTAATTGAGACTGGGCAGGTCAACCCAGAATAGTAGTGTCAGATACACCGAGGCAGCAGAACAAGAAAAGCACCAAAGGCAACAAGAAGAAAAAGCAGAAGAGGTTCAGGGTTTTAAAAAGATATTTCAAGACACATGCCAGGAAGTATTCCTTTGGACAGAGGGTAATTAATCGCTGAAATGGGATTACCAGGAAAGAAGCTTGAGGCCAGTATTCTAGGTCATCATATATTAATAGTGGCAATGTCAAAATCGTTTCTCCCTGGGAATAGGGGTGGGGGCTGGGGCAATAACGGAGGTTGGAAATGGGGAAGTGGAGATTGGGAATAGAGGGAGGCAGAAGTTGGAAATTGGGCCGGAGAATGCGAATGAGGAGGGCTTGTCAATAGGAAAAGTTAGAGGTTGTTGGGTGATCTGATTAACATTGGTGGAAGGACAAACTGAACATATCCAAATGTCCTTCCCTCTGTACTGCTTCTCATCCTCTTGTGGAATACAACCTGAAAATTGTTTATGTTCTTATTAATGTGTGCTTTTGAAGTAAAACTTTTTAAAGTATTAAAGTGGCAAAGATGTCTGAAAGTCTGAACATCGCTTGGTACAATACTGCCACTGTCATTTCTGCCACCATTTCGCCCACAAAATACAGTCAATCCACTTTACAGTATATTCTGTGAAGTGCTTTGAGACATCTCAAGGACATGATAAGGTGCTATATCAAATGCAAGGATTATTATTATGATGATAAACCAGAAATGCCCACTTGCTGCTGCGTCTGTATTTCAAGCCTACTTGTAAAGATTGAAAAAAATCGTTCATTTTAAAAAGTAATTCTATGTGTTTTATACTTTTTTTTCTTTTAGCTTTAACTCCTCCCAAACCTAACCTTCTGGGCATTCCTGGTTCAACTGTACCCTCTCCTGGCCTTCCGACTAGTGGACAGCCAAGCAAGCAATCTCCTTCATTGACATCGCAGGCCCCGACACAGGCAACCACCGCAACATCACGTCCAACAACAGCTAGCCATCAGCAGCAGCAGCAGCAACCAGAACAGCGTAAGAGCAAAGAGAATGAGAGGGCAAAAGAAAAGGAAAAAGAAAAAGTAGACCCTACGCCCACAGCTAACAAGGAGAAAAGTGACAGCAGTGCTGGGACATCAGTACCAATACCTGGCATGGAGTATGTCGTAGATCCAGCTCAGCTTCAGGCCCTGCAAAGTGCCCTGGCTTCGGATCCAACTGCCCTGCTCACCAGCCAGTTTTTGCCGTACTTTGTGCCTGGCTTTTCTCCGTATTATGCCCCGCAACTTCCCGGAGCCCTACAAGGAGGATATCTGCAGCCAATGTACGGAATGGAGGGTCTGTTTCCCTACAATCCAGCTTTGTCCCAAGCTTTGATGGGGCTGTCACCAGGTTCTTTGCTGCAGCAATATCAGCAGTACCAGCAAAGTCTACAAGATGCCCTCCAGCAGCAACAGAGGCAGTTGCAACAACAGCAACAACAGCAGCTCCAGCAGCAGTTACAACAGCTACAGCAGCAGCAGCAGCAACAACAACAGCAGCAGCAGCAGCAACAACAGCAGCAGCAGCAGCAACAACAGCAGCAACAGCCAAAGCAGCAGCCTAAACCAAGCCAAGCCCCTGCCCCACCACTAACCGCTTCCCCAGACAAAGAATCCGCCAAAGAATCTACTGAACCAGAAGAGCAAACCAGTGCTCCCAGAGAAGTATCCCTTCCAAAACCAGAAGAACAGCAGCAAACAGAAAGCAAAAGTACGGACTCGCTTGACCTGTTCATTGTTCCGAAGGTGCAGTACAAGTTGGTCTGTCGCAAGTGTCAGATGGTCTTCACTGATGAAGAGACAGCCATGAGCCACCTGCAGTCGATATGTTTCTTCGGTCAGTCTGTGATAAATCTGCAAGAGATGGTGCTCCGTGTCCCCAACAGCACCTACCACTGCCTGGCCTGTGATACTACACTGAGCGGGGATGAAGCTCTCAGTCAACATCTCGAGTCAACCTTGCACAAACACAGAACAATCAAACGAGCAGCAAGATACGCCAAAGAGCACGCTAGTTTATTACCTCACTCAGCCTGCTTCCCCGATCCTAACACCGCATCTACCTCGCAGTCTGCCGCTCACTCTAATGACAGCCCCTCCTCCTCCAGCCTCTCCCCTCATGCCTCCATGAAATCTTGGCCTAACATTCTTTCCCGAGCCACAGTCAGGAAGCCCTCTTCTTTACCTACTCTCTCCTCATCTTCAACAGTTACCTCAACTTCATGCAGCACCTCAGGGGTTCAGACCTCTATACCAACAGACGGCTATTCAGATGAGTCTGACAGTGAGCTCAGCCAGAAGTCAGATGGCCTGGATTGCCCACTGGAGGGTCCAAATGACCCCAGCTGCCGCAGAGACAGTAGTCTGACAAGTGTAGGAATGGACACCTTCAGATTGTAAGCTTGAAGATGGACAATATGATTAATAAAAAAAACAAACCAATTTCAAAAAAGACTAACTGCAATTCCAAAGCTTCTAACCAAAAAAATAAATAAAAATCTTTCAGGATTGTTGTCTCATACTGATATGCTGGCAACATCTAAGCCTGTTACACTTGTTGCTAGAAGGTACTATGGTTAGCTGAGCTATGACAGAACCAGAAAGCAATGAACTGCCTCAATTTAATTACAGTGGTCTTTGAACCTGAACCCCTTTATTTCCCCAGTGCAAACATGTCCTAAGTTAATAGCACAGCAGACGGCAGCATGTACCTTATGGGATGACAATCCACCATTTACAGTTTAGATTTCTTGCTATGTAAGCATTCAGATACCAATGGCTAGCTAAAATGTAATGTCTTGTATTCTCAGGTCAATAGCTCACACCTTGTTACGTTTTCAGAATCATATTTTTGTTTTTTTCTTTGTTTTGTTTTTCTTTTCTGTTTTTATTTTAGGTTTCCTTTTTTTTGTTCCAGAAGACGATTGGGCAGAAAGCGTTCTAAAAAAAATAAATAAAAATAATAATAATTAAAAGTTTAAAAATTATTAAAACACATAAACTTTACTGGGGATTTACAAAGAATAGCTCTTCTGCTGTATAATCTGAGGGATGATTAAGCACTCCCATTGCCACCAAAACACAAGAGTGTTGAGGACTTGTAGCTGAGATAACAATGAATTTAAAAGAAAACTAACTTTCTGTATTTATGATAGATATGAACATTTTGGTGTTGAGTAGTTTGTTGCATTGGAAATTACCTAAACAGTATGGTAGATTGAAAACCTTTGTGTACATTAGCTTTTGTATTGTCCAACAGAAAGCTCTTCATTTTGATGTTGTCTTGTTCATTCCTATAGGGTAGATTGAATCAAGTTACTGGTCTATGCCTGTCGTATTCCTTCCTTTCCCATCTTTCCCCTTCCGACCTTGAAACCTTCCTTAACGCTTGCTAGCCTTCCTCGCTGAAGGTGCTTGCTCTAGTTTTATAGGAGGAAGAAAAAAAAAGTAACTAAAGATTTTTTGTGGATAGGGTCCTTTTCAAATTTTTTTGTGAACCTTTAAGGAACATAATGATTATTTACCTGTGTCTGTAACCTTCGTGCACTTACCTTTCTGCTTTTGTAGATGCTATGGAATTTTTTTTCCTATGAAGCAGACATTTGTTTTCTGTGTAGTGTGGCGGCAGTCTGGACTCTTCTTTGGGGGGGGGAGGGGAGGGGAAGGGAGGGGGGGGAAGAGGTTAATTTTTTTTTCTTTTGTCACAAGAGAAAAAATTCTCGCGCTTTAACAAAATCCAAAGACATACACTTTCACCATTGGTGCATAAAGATGAAAAGAGGCATCTTTATACAGTACTTGAGAATTTGTTCTTCTGATTTAATAAAAATTTTAAAAAAAGGAATGGTAATATCGGGGTCGTTGCCGTTGCTTCTTCTGCAAGCAAAGGAGCGGCTTAAGACAAAACAAATAAAAATACCAAAAAAAACTTTTTACTTAAAGGTTTGTCCTTGTATTGTGAAATAAGTGCAGTGGTGGTTAGAAGACACTGCTACTGCCATGGATATCAGATAGTGATCTTTTAAGAAAATGTCTTTGTTATTTGGGCACTTGTGTTATGTACATCTCTGTAGTCACATTAATGTCAAAATATTCATTACTAGCATTAAAAAGGTCTGAACTCTTTAAAAAAAACTTTTTTTTGCTGCAAATGTTGTAGTCACACAGTAGATGCTTGCTTATACCTTGCTTTTTGCTAAGCTTTACTGGAAACCAATAAATCAGTTTTAGCCCTTGCTTTTTTGATATTCCTTTTTTCATCTTTCTGTTGCAAATGGAACGTTTTTAGACTGTGAATACACCTTTCCATGGTTCAGTTTGGCTGATGCTTTTACTAATGTCAAAAGCCAACATAAATTGCAGAACTCCAGTTCATTCCAAACTATCAGCTCGGAGTTTGTTGCAGGGAACTGATTTGTTTTGTTTAAAACTTTTTTTTGTTTTTTTTTCAAACAAAAAAGTAGTCAATAAGCTGTTGTACATATTCATAATCAGGCTTGTGCACAGTGCAAAAATATTTTTTTTGTAATGATTACATGCAGATAGTATAGCCCTCCAGTTTCAAAAGTGACTGAAATTGAAATTACATTTGAAAGTCGTAGGCCTATTTTACATAAAGTTATCTGATCACGTTCAAAAACAGAAAATTCAAATTCTTTTCTAAAATGAGGTTTAAAAAAATAAACTCCCACAAGATGAAAAATTTTATTCCAAGGTTGTACAGTTTTTTTTTTTGGTTTTATGTTATTTGATGTGATTCTCTATGAAATATATTCGGCATTTAACTGTTAATTTGTATGTTAGTATGTTTCTGTATCATATATAATTTTCCTCATATTAACTGTTAACATTTTAACACTAGCATTATATTTTAAATACTGGTTTGTTTTATGTTTTTTATCTTTATACTATGACATGGCCTCTTAAGGTGCAATTTTCTGGTTTGTATTTTCTTGGAACTCTGACCTTTGTTTCCAAAGTCTGTTCAGTAGCACTTGTACTCTACCATTTACAAAGACTAATAATTGTGTGGGTCAGGCTACCCCAAGTTTTACAGTTTAACATAGCAAGACGTACAGGTGAAAAGTGGACAAGACATATTTGCATCTAAAGGCACCACCAGTACTGAAGCAGGAAAAAGCACTGAGCAGTTTTTGAAAAAAATTATTTAACTATATATGAATGTGGCCAAAGCTTTAAGCAATGAGAAAGGTGCCGCATTAAAAGTGTCCAATTTTTGTGGCATGGGGAAAAAGAATAAGACAAGAGAAGCATTAACACAAGTCAGCATACTTGATGTATCTAAGTTCTTGGACAATAAAGAAGATTATTGTCATTCTTGTGGAGAAACTGCCCACTGTGAACAGCATTGACTTTTACATCTTGGGCAACTTTGGAAACATTACCCTGAGGTGAAAGAGGTATCTCCAGCCTTGCAATGTACAAAAAAAAGAGCAAGTTAAACCAAAAATGATGTTCTTGATGTTTTTTCTATAATGTAGTCTTGTTAGTTTTTTTGTTACTGTAACAATAATGAAAAATTTCAACTGTACCAAAATCATGGAAACTAACAACCACGTGAATTTCGAACTTTAAAATTTTTTGTCACAAACCTTGTTGTCATAGTTAAGTTGATTGTAGATGGTAATTGAATATACTCCTTTGAAAATACTTCATCAAGTATGTTTCTTGCTCATTGTGATACATTAAAAAAAAGCAGTATGAGCAAAACTACATGTGTTTGGCTATGTTGTTCTCTACCTTGTGTTTTTTAAATGATTTTGAAATTGCTAAACCCACCCCTTTTCCACTGAGGTGATGTTGACACTGTGTTCAGAGGGGTGCAGATTGATATCACACCATCCACTCGCAAGGTTAAAGACCTCAGTAATGTGATGAAAATTTGGCCCACAGTGAAGTCTGGCTGAAATTCTCCCAATCTCATCAGAATAATACCGGAGAGGCCATTTGGCCCATCGAGCATTTGTTGGCTGGATATATGGGTCACACTTTACCTGCCCTTTCGTCTCTTGCAACCCTGGCTGCTGCACGTTAGTGTAATAATGAGAGCGTCTCTCCCCGGGTGGTCGTGCTACTGGTGTGAAATCAGCTGTGTTGCTCGGCATCTTTGTAAGGTTAAAGACAGGCACTGTACTGATGCCAAGTATGCTGTGTAGCTGCCACACTAGATTTCCACAAACACTATGCACTCCATGCAAGAATTCAATCACGGACTGAAATTCACTTTTAGTAGCCGAGACTACTACAATTCATACTCGAGTCACTAAGTTCCAGTCGAAGCCTGGTGCACCGCCTATTTGAACCATGCTTATGATCATTAATAAGATAAAGTGAATGTCTGCTCCAATTGTCACATAGTAAAAACATAAAAAATTATTTTAGTTTTTTTACCAAGTGCTGATCAAATCGGACTATTTCTGTGAAACTAGTAATCCTTTGATCTCCATGTGGTAATAATGTGTTGGACTACATGTGTTTACCATGTGGACATCATTATTAGCTTAAGACTTGCAGGCGAAGAAAACAGAAGGGCTGAACGGATTTAATTCCGATTGAGTGACGTGATGGTAGGACGAAAGGGTTTAGTGAGTAGTTCACCTGACTTGGCGACCAGTAAAAAGAAACAAATGAATGTGTCTGAATAGTGGGTATATAGGAATTAATTGTGTAAGAGTGGGAATAATCAAGAAGCAGAAGACTGCACATCCTGGTAACAGAGGAAAAGAGCATATACGTGATGAATGGTGTAATTTTGCCACTGGATTTTCTGATTAATTTCATAGCCATGGCAACAAATTGTTAGAATTCATGGTGTGGCACAGACCCTATTTAAAAGCAATCTTCTGCTGCTCACACCGTTAACAGTCTTGTAGACCCAGGATAAAGTGCAGGGCACCTCACTCCTTTGCAAATGCTGTGGTTTCTTGCAGTCAAGTAGTTTAAACGTATTTTGAACAAGAACACAGTTATGCATTTTTTTGCAGTTTTAATGCCATGCTGATCTGAAATTCTCAACAATTTTATTTCAAACAAGGTTTGACCTCTGCAGTTGTACATCCAAGGCTTGAAATTTCTGCCCAGACGTAAGCTGAAAGATCAATTAGTCTTACAATTTAAGACCATGCAGACATGTGCAAAATTTTTAAATTCAACCTTAATTTGGAAAACTTTTTTTAAGAACAGTGGAAAATTAAGGCTATAATTCTGCAAAATCTTAAAATTCAACGCAAAATAATCTGACTGCCTCAGACAAGGTAGATTTTCAAGCCTCTAAATATCATTTTTTTGAAAAAAAAGTGTAGCAAAGTGGAAAATCACAGCGTTTTACGAGAGTCACCATGTCCGTGAGAAAATTGCATGCTTGAAACATCATATAATCTGCGTCAAACTACAGTGCCTTTGGTTCCTTTCATTCCTAACTTCTGAAGTAGTTGAATGTGGTCATCACTGAATTCTGTGAGAAGAGTCTTCAGAATAAACCGAGCCATTCACAAGGGAGATCTGCGGGAAAGAACTAAGCATTTTATTGGAATTCATGGGGTGAAGAACTTAAAACAGTATTTAACTGTAAATTAGCTAATAAGTCAACAGCTTTTGCACGTAATCCTTGCATTTGATATAGCGCTTTTCACGTCGGGAGGACGTCCCAAAGCGCTTCACAGAACACACTGTAAAGTGAATTGACTGTATATTTGTGGGCGAACGCGGCAGCCAATTGCGCACAGCAATGTCCCACAAACAGTCGTAGATTGAAAATGACCAATTTATTATCGTTTTGTTTTTTTGGAGGGATTATTATTAGGCTCTGTGTGGAGTAAGGAAACTTGCCCAAGGTTTCGCCCTCTGCCTGGAATTGA